GTCATCCTGAAACCGTCCGCAGAATATTGAGAGAATCAAATTTCAATGGAAGAATAACTGTAAAGAAACCTTTCGTAAGTGCAAAAAATAGAATTAAAAGGTTGCAGTTTGCACGAGAGCATTTAAATAAGAGTCCAGCATTTTGGCGAAATGTACTTTTTGCAGACGAAGTCAAAATAAACTTATTTGGATCAAATGGAAGATCTTATGTATGGCGCGAAGTCAATTCTGAGCTCAAACCACAAAATTTACGTGCTACCGTAAAACACGGAGGTGGTAATGTTATGGTTTGGGCATGTATGTCATCAAATGGAGTAGGAAATTTGGTCTTCATCGAAGAATCTATGAATAAAAATATTTACTTAAAGCTTCTTCAAGAAAGTTTGATTCAAAGTGCAATGAAATTGCAGATTGCAGATGATTTTCGCTTTTACCAAGACAACGACCCTAAGCACAAGTCAGCATTAGTACAAACGTGGTTGATATGGCAATGTCCACACATTGTCCAAACTCCTGCACAATCACCAGACTTGAACGTTACTGAAAATTTGTGGTCCGTTTTGAAGACAAATATCAGAAAACATGACATCCGCAACAAATTTGACTTAAGAAACGCTTTACAGCAAGAGTGGAGTAAAATTAGTCCAGATTATACCAAAAAACTGGTTGATTCCATGCCAAAAAGGCTTCATGCTGTTATTACTAATAAGAGATATCCAACAAAGTACTAAGTACTTAGAATTAGTCCGGAAGTTTGTAAAAATATTAGTTTTTTTGATGTTGCATCATTTAAGCTGTGACATGAATTTTTCATTTGGTTTTGGTTTTTGATGCATTACTAAGGAATGGAAGAAGATTTTTGGGTTTTTTTTTAAATGAATAAACACACTATAAACGATAACTCTGCATACTTTGTTTTTTTAATTTTGCAAAATATTTTGAAATAAACAACATTTTTCAAAAAATTTTTGCTTGCATCAAATATGCTGTGAGCCACTGTAGCTTGCTACGGTTCGAAATACGAACGACATATTTAAACATACACTAATTTCTTCAAGAGCTGCAAAAATATCGATTAGAGATTTTCCACTCAAATATAGCACATTCACACTATTATTTTCGAACTCCATTCTCCATAAAACTCCATAAAATTTTTTCAAAAAACTGGACGCTTAAATATAATAAAATCCACAGTCGATAGGTATAGTGTTCCCATGATTTTGAAAGTTTAATATTGATTGCTATTTAATTGCAATACCATGTTTATATTCTTAGGAAACAGATTTTCTTCAAATGCAGAAGTGATTACCGAAACAGATGCCTACTTTTAGAAGCAAAAACGGCCCTGAAAAGTAAGAGAATCATTGGAATTATTGTTGAAGTAAGAAATCTCTTTCCTAAAGGCAAATCGTTCTAAAAAAGAAGGCTTTGAAAAGTTATTGGATCATTGGAATTATTGTTGAAAAAGATAATCTAAGTCGAATTTCTCAAAAAAATGTTTCTTTCTCCTAGCTAGTCTGGAGTCGTATTGAGTGATTTGTACTACTTAAGGATACATTACATATACGTCTATTGTATTTTATAATCTATATATGTATGTATATCATTTTATAGAACTTTTTGTTTTGGTTATGTTGCGCAGTTTAATAAATACTGGGAGATATATGTATATGTATGTATGAGTTTGTTGAAGGAAGAATATTCATAAATTATTTACATATGACTAGTGTTAATAATTGTCAATATGAATATCAGCAACATGTGTATAAATTGATGTGTGAATATCATTTTCAATTAATAAAAGTTGATTACTATCCATTTTTCGATACTAAAGATTGATGTGAAATCTTTGAAATTCATGGTCAACTGCGTTGTACGTCTGCAGGAATGCATCCACCAATGTCTGCGTTCAAGTAATTAGTTAAGTGCTGACAGTGGTTCTTACTTAATTTGAAATATTAAATGTCAATGTGAAATGCAAATGCAGTTTTAACAAATGCGAATCTCGGCTTTTTCAAACTCCAAGCACAAATAGTTGATGTACACCTCCACATACGCGATGAAGAGGGTGAAGCATTGGTTTTATGTGTCAAGTGTTCAATTAAAGAACCATTGCATTTATCTATCTAGATTCAAGACTGATGTATTGTGTTTTATACGACTCAATATGTGCATGTTCAGGCATGAAGAAGTGCAGTACTCAGACGAGGAGGTTTCTATGAAGTCGGCATGTGCAACTAAATTAATAAAATTTTCTAACAAATAAAAAAGATGAATAATAAATGAAAAATTAGAATAAGACTAGCTTCACAATTGCTTGCAAATTAAAATAAAATTAATTTTAGCAAAGAATTTTATTTATGCATGCAACTTGCGTATTATTTTTAAGTTTTTATTGTGTACAATTGAGTGTTAGACGAGGGAGATAACATATTATTAAAATTTTATTGAATATTTTCTAACACTCCTTAACAGCATTTGTTAAAGCAATTATCTAGTAAATTACTGACATAACTTTAAGCTAAGATTACAATAGTAATCCTTTGGTATAAAACAACACACAAACGTCCTTATAACTTGAAAAAAATTTTGTAATAAAGCCAGAGATATCAAAAAGAAGAACTATGCTCAACGTAAATTAAACTACGTTGGTCGTTTTAGCAGCTGATGACTTACACTGTTCATTATATGGGATATAGCAGCTAGTGACTATGGTTTAATAGTACGCAGTACTACAGAAGCGCCTTGGTTCAACTTCATTCGTTACATTTCTAGCTATTGTAACTATCACGAGAAAGGGGTTAGAATATTTTCGAGGCAAGGCATGCCTATCGTAATAGATGCCTCAAATCTAGTAGGTACCACTAGATACTGTTTAAAGTATAAAAAGTAGTGTGTGAGTTTGACTTCCATCTCCCGACAGAAAGTGTATATGTAAAACCACGGATACACAGCTCACAGCAATTGTTTTCAATAAAGGTTGATCCCTTTAAGGGGAATATTATAGCGGCAGTAGTAATGCTCAAAGTTATTCGGGTTAAATGACTGTATTCATTACTTTCATTCGCTGTGGAGTTAAATTTAACAACAAAGTGCTGTGCTTCAAAAAGCAAAGACCTTAGGTGCGCTTAGGTGGAAAATTATATCTAAACAAAAAGCTTCAATTGATACCGGCGGAGTTTTTACGTATTCTATTTATCGTTGGTGTTAAGTCTTCTAGCAGATAATCACGCTAAGAATCTGCTGGAGAAGAAGACTCTGTACTTTAATCGAAGTTTCCCGCTTTTCCTTAAGCGGGTTTGAAAATTTATTAGCAGCATCCTTCACTGTTTTGGAGTACACCTAGTTGTAAGTGGTGTTTCACATCCAATCCTTACCAGAGTAATAGCGTGATATTATTGGATACGGGTATCCGCAATTCTGATTATTCTAGACATTGTGTTGTCAGCGCAAGGAATAATCATAGTGCCTGTGCTTAAAACATAAAGATATTTGCAAAATTCTGTGTTGTCAGAATAGCAACTAGGATTCATATACTTTAACCTTCCTTTTTGAAGATAGGTGATATCTGGTATCAAGGCAAGTACAACTTTGGCAACTAAGCCATCTTACATGTGCTTTCACTCTCCGTCTTAAGGATAACTAAAATCTGGTATCAAAAGAATTGCGTAACCACAACTTTGGAATTTAAGCCATCATGATAGGTAACTATATACAACAACTAGAGCTCATGTACTTTAATCTTCTCTCTTGAGGATAGGTGAAATCTGTTATCAAGGGATTTGGGTAACCGCAACTGTGGTTGCTCCTGCGTGATACGTTAATTTTCGCTCTATCAGAAGTTGTAGTTACTTAACTGGGTGGTGTGACTCAAAAAACTGTATAGGGTTAGATGGGCCTCGTTTTTCAACTAGGACGAAGTAATGAAGCAAACAGGAACAAAAACTAACAAGTGACCATTAATTGATATCGGTTTTAGGAAAAATTAATTAATGTCACTATTAAAGATATATGTACGTCATTAGGCGCTATAACTTTTGATGCTTACCCCGTATGTGTAAAATAATTTATTGTTTAATAAAATACGTACATGCATTTTCTTAAATTAAAGTTACTAGTTCAATTGCGCGTATTATCAACGTCATCATCATGATTAATATCAACTTCATTATTAACAATACCCACAAATTTATTATTTACACTTATGTTGTTGCTGTTGTTTACATATAGAAGAAGAAGAAGAATTCCTATTTCACAAATGCTTACATTGTAGTGTTGTTGTGTTTTAATGCAGAAAATGAACATGCGTTACTCTGGACTCGTGCTATCAGAGTGAAGTGGGTCTACTCTTTGCTCCATGTGCATTAAATGTGCTGCTTTAGGTGAGATCCAGCCGGTAAATTGCAATTGCAATTGTAATTGCACCGTTTGCTCTGTTGTGGCTTTTATTGTCAATTAATGTGTAAATTTTAATAAAATCATATTTATTGAATAAATGGTTTATGCAAAAAAAAAAAAAATAATAATAATAAACATTCATACATACACTCTCGCATACATATGTATGTATGCAAAATCACTTCAAAGTGGGTTAAAATATTGTCACTTGCAGTGCAAGGCGGCTTACGTCGGCGAAACGTACAACGTAAAATGCGACGCAGTCAACTCAATTTTACTGTTATTTGTTGTTGATTTGGTTTTGGTTTTTTTATTTTTAGTCTTAATTCTGACTTTGCCCAGGCGTATGGCGTACTTCAAGGCATTTATTTACTTACTCACATTCACACAAACATAACAGTATTGCTTATGTGTTGTGTGCTCATACGCGTGCGTACTTTAATAATTTTATTATGATTTGAAATTTACGTCTCAAACAATTGTTCCTTTGCCATTCTATGCAGCTATGCATTGTTGTTGTCGCTCTTATGGCACTTAAATTTTTGTTGTCATTATTTCAGCAGTTTTATTTGCAATTCTCTTTATTTTGTTTTTTTCTTTTTGCAAAGTTTATTAATAGGAAGACTTTTCATTGTTGTTGTTGTTATTTTAGTTGATTTGGAGTTAGTTTTGCAAAACGCACGCGAGCAGAATTATTTTATATTATTATGTGGCAAGGCGGTTGGGTCGCTGACCCAGAAATGTCAATAGGGAAGTGTTTATTTTGTGTTTTCTCTTAAGTGATTTCAATTTGTGGAAAAGAGTTAATATGTCAAATTTAATGATAAATGTTTTTTTAGTTTATAAAATTAATTTGTAAATTTAACCCTTTAAAAAGTATGGCTGTTATAGAAAAATAAATATTACACTTTTTCAGGAATTAAAAAATTGTATTATAAAAATCCCTAAGTTGCGGTTAACAGCACCAAAATGATAAATCACACAACCCAAAAATTTCTCATAAAGAAATTATCAAAAAATATTATTGAAACACTTTATCTACCACATAAACATATTGAACTTTACACTAATTCAAATTTATTATAATATAAATATATAAAGATCAGCATTAGCGGTTTGTGTGGCACCTTCAACATTTAAAAAAAAGTATGGAAAAAGTAAAATAGGATTATTGAAACTCTACCACATATCTACTATATCCACATACTGAATTTTGCACTACTTCAAATTAATAATAATGTCAATGTATAAAGATCAGCATTAGCGGTTTATGTCCCATCTTCAATATTTCACAAAAAAATGTAGACCTATCATATTTCCAGATCGAAGGTCA